GGCATTTCGGGCAGATTATGGTATTAAGGCTAAGTGACTACATCATAATTTGTGAGTTTAGCAAAGTGAATGCTTTTGTTTTGGCACAATACAAAGTGTCTATATTGGAGTATCATAGGCAAACTTATGACTAGTTAGGATTTATTATTTTAAGATTAAGATTAGTATTTCTGGGTTTATAGTCAGTGGGTGAGTGAGTGTAATTGTGAACCACCAGGTGATTATCATGTAGTTAGTTGTCGGGGTGGATCAGGGAGATAAGATGTTTTCTAACTGTAGTTTTGAAAGTGATGAATGTGTCTGAAGTTCTAGAGTTTTCAGGTAGGGTGTTCCAGACTTTAGGTCCTTTGAATATATAATGCATAATGTATTTATGTACACTCGTTCTATTCAACACAATAACTGCACTAATATTTTCATCATTATATTGCTACATAACTTGTTTACAACAAAAAAACATGCAAAAATGTTATATACTGTATTAGTAATGTTCTATTATATATTTACATATGTACAGTCACTGGGCCTGTTCCTAGAACTGCTGCAGTCTGTGGAAGTCTTTGAAACAAGGTGTCATGCACAGCGGTGTCTTACATTCCTCACACATAAACTGAGTGTCTTTGCATTTTTGTGGCCGTTGTTTTGTTTGTGAACAGACAACACATCTCTTCTGAGCCCATTTCTTCATAGTTGATGGAAGCTGCATTAGGAAGTGATCACCTTCCCACCTCAAACAACTGGGCAATCGGTGATCAGTTCATGGACGGTTCTGTATAGCAGGTGATGTGACGTGATACTTGATTATTAGTCGTCTGATGATAGATAAACAAAATTCACCATATGGTGGTCTGTTGCCGATCTTCATTTGGTACATATTATATGCATTGAGCACTGAAATGATTACGAGATGAAAGAAAAGTTTCATGTGCCACTTGTAGCTCTTACGAACACATGTCACATTTGTCAACCAAACGAATGTTTTGTGTGTAGTCAATCAATGTAGCTGGTTTTAGAATAGGTTCATTCATCTCACTATCCACCTTGCCATTGTCTTTCATTTCATTATGGTGAATGAATGTCAGTAATGTGATATCTCATTTGTCATGCCACTGTAATGCCATAACAACATTGGTAGGAAACCCCTGCACCTCACCACTATGAGTACCTGTGTTGAACCTGGGCATATGTTTATGATTAGAATGCACTATGCCACACATGTCTGTCTTGTTCACTCACAAGAAATCACTGAGTAAGGGGCTTGTGTACCAGTTATCAGTACATAATGTATGCTCCTTACTAAGATATGGTGCCATCATTGTTCTCGCAATGTCACCTGAGATACCCAATAACATCCTGGTATCTACCAATGTTTTATTTCCCATGTATACAATTATGTCCAATACCAGGCCACTGTCACAGTCACAGTACAAACAGTTTTATACCAAAGCGTTTCCTCTTGTTCAGTATATACTGCTTGAATGACAGTCTACCTTTGAACAAAATCAAAGACTCGTCAATTACAAAATTCTTTAATGGATGAAAGTACATGTTGAACTTTTGCTTCAGATACATAAAAACATTTCTAATCTTGTGTTACCTGTTATCTCTGTCAGGCCTGGTTTTGTCAGAGAAGTGCAACATACGTAACAGTAAGATAAATCTGTTCACTGGTATATCACTGAAAGCTGGGGTAGAAATTACCCCATCTGTAAACCAGTATGATTTTATATTATGCTTAAGCATAAGCATTATTGTTGCAAAAAACAAATACATTTCAGCCACAGTTGTCTCCATCCACCAGTGTAGTCTTGACTGCAGTGAAATAATTGCATTTGCCATGGTGTTATCAAAATACTTTACCTTCCCTGGCAATCATTTCCATCAAGGGCTAGTCAAAGAATAGTTCAAAGAATTGCAGTTCACTTGCAGTGTTTCCAAGGGAACAAGATGGCAGGAATCCACTTTGAGTATTATCAAATTGATGGGGATTGGGAGCAAAATTGGGATTTTGCTGCCAATCCCAGATGCGGTTTGATGGTGGATACTGGATATCATAAGCTGGTTGCAGTTGTGGTTGTGCAGGTTGTGGTGTGGGGCTGGATGATGATGCACTTTGTCCTGGACCTGCTGAGTCAGTGGCTTGGGTCCCAGCCTGGACTGGTGCCACATGCCCATGGTACCACCACCAACCTACTGACGCATGTGGTCTATCCATCCCAAGTGTAGCCACATCATCGTCACTTTCAATGTCTATTTCAGGTGTAGGGCCAAGGGATATACTCCTGGATGTACTCCATCCCCTTGGAATTACATGTGGTGCACTACCCGAGTTCATGCGGCATCGTATAAACTGATGCTTGACTGGTAAATATGATTCCTCGTTATCGCTACTCGAATAGTCATCAAAAGCAATAAAATCAAAGTCCACGTCACTGTCATCGTCATTACTCAAATCCAAGGCCTGGCCATGCGAAAATATTAGTTTTCTTTTGTGATGAGGTACAACTGAATGTGACTGAGACACACCAGCACCAGAGGTGGAAGGTTGAGGGTCGTCAGGATTTTCAGCACTATTTTCGATATCTTGAGCATTGCTTTCGGTCACAAATTGTTCAAAACCATAGAATTCCTCTTCAGATCCACTCCCATCTGTGTTAGAACTATCACTTGAGAAGAGGAGATTCCCAATTTGCCGGGAAGTGAGAGCTTCCTTGCCGCAAGGCATGATGAACAAAGCATACTTTGATGGCATTCCTACAATGCAATGCGGGTGCCCCGATTTTTCTGTTTACTACGCACATTGATCACGCTTACCAGCCTTCTCGCACTAAATTTGAATCCTGTAGAATTATGGCATAGTTCTATGGCTTAGACCCTGGCTTCCAAGCCATAGAACAATGGGATGGACCCTCAAAGGGTTAAGGAAAACCTGAGAAAATAATAGCTAGAATGGGGTATGCAACATATTCTAACCAGTTATTAGTGCAAAAAAACTGATGTGAAGGACTTCTAGTGATAAAGTCAGAGGATCTCACCATCAGGGAACATAAGTGTTACTATCACATCTGCAAGGAAAATGATGAGATGGATAAAACGAACCAATGATGATCCTCTATAAGTCACTTGCTCTGTCTAGGATGGACTACTGCTGTACACTAACAGCCCCTTTCAAGAGAATGTGCAGAGAACCTTCACTGCATGTAATAGTTCAGTCAAGTACCTTAATTGCCTGGAATGTTTGAAGTCCCTTGATCTTTATTCCTTGGAAAGCAGGTGAGAAAGATAAATCATAATCTATGCCTGGAAAATCCTAGAGGGACTGGTCCCAAATCTAAACAAAAAAATCATAATCTATGCCTGGAAAATCCTAGAGGGACTGGCCTCAAGTCTAAAAAAAATCACTCTCTACAAAAGCAAAAGACTAGGCAAATGGTGCAACATCCCCCCAATGAAAAGCAAGGGTGCCATAAGTACACTAAGAGAAAACACAATAAATGTTCAGGGCCAAAAACCATTTAACAGCCTCTCATCATACATAAGTTAAATTACCAATAGATCCCTGGCTGTCTTCAAGAGAGAGAACTGGACTGTGGTTTGTACACTGGATTTGTATGGGCAGCAGTAACATCAGAGTTGATCAAGACCTCATTTCCCGGGAGGCCTGGTTGAGAACCAGATCACAGGAATGTTGACACCAAGAACAGAATCTAGGTATACTCCAGGTAAGTAGACAAGTGATTTTTAATAGACATGTTATTTGAGTGTTAGCAGGGTACCTTCTATGTAGGGATTTGGGAAAATGATTGGCTGGACTCGAGTCCTAGAGGTGGAAAGGGCAGTGCCTGCACTATAAAGGAGGGGTAGGGATGTTGTAGTTGCTGGGTACTGAGTGTGATGTCAGCAGACTTCTGGAAAGATTATAAATGAATGGTGCAAAATGTGTCCTGATTAAGACATGTGTAACAGTTGGGTATCTTTTTTGATGTAATATTTTGCCTACTAGGCTTCTTCAGTCAAATATAGAGGCAGCAGTAGTAATGAAATAAAAATTATGTAAACAGTCCATCAACCTTGGCAAAAAAGTGTTTGAGGTGGTCAGTCCTTCAGCCTGGAGAAGAGTTCAGCTCCATGGTCTGGAATGATATGAAGCTGAAGCATGAGAACAGAGTAAAGGATGAGGTGAAGTCTCGAAGACATAGGGCATGACAGGACTCACTAGTGGACTAAAAGACACTCCCTCTGGAATCCCAGCCCTTCTCCTACGTCCGTATTACATAACCATGCAGAAAGGAAGATGTCCTCTCTACCAAGATACCATTGTGCTGCAGTGTCTGACAGTATCGTCAAAAATGGTAGACAAAACATTTCATCACTAAAGATACCCAACTGTTGCACGTGTGTCTTAATCTTCAACTAGTTGGTATTTTAATGCCATTTTCAGCAAGAATGTGTCCTTTTTGGGGTTACTCTACCTCAGATGGAGATGGTTGATATGGTTAAAAAAAAGAAACACAAACCTCAAAAAAGGAAAAACATACCATGAATTTTGTGTCGCCATGAGAGAGAGTATCAGTACCAAGTCGCCATTATCCTTCAATGTTTCATCACCTGCTAGCAGTTTGGGGATGTTATGCCTAGAACTCAGTAATGTGTAGGTGAAGATGGGTCCAGTAGAGCATCCACTAATACCACTGCTTGTGGCTCCACGACTGTAAAATAATGCAATACAATAGTTGTTTTAACTTAAACGATAATTGGAATTCAAGAATAACAATGAAAAAATGTGCACACCAAAAGTCACAATGTAACTATGATTATAAAAAAATAGTGGATCACTGTCATTCTTCCTCCTCTCCTCTTCCTTTTATTTACTCAGTAAACCTCATTTTTTTTTTAAAAAAAAACCCCCCTTTTTAATTTTAAGGAGAGAATCATCCTGAATTTTGGGTGTAAAGGTTTCTCCCACCATTCAAAAAAAAAACCCCTTTTTCATTTTAATA